CAAATATTTTTTTGTACGTATATTTTACAAAAATATTTATAGGTCATGCACAAGGATATTCTCGCGGTTTTACTTGTGATGATGAAATTTAAAATTAAAAAACATCGAATTTATTATTAATTTTTAAGTATTTATGTTGTTTTCAGTAGCAATTAGAAATATGCCACAGAACATTATTTTAATAAAATAATACGCCAAAATTAAATATCATAAAAACATTTAGTTATTTAACAGATATAGAGTACAATTGAGATGATTGGTACAGCCATACGATAGATTTCTTTAGACCAACATTTTATTATTGTCAACAGACCTAATTGGTAATACACTAAACCCCTACAATATTAGAAACGGTGTTCCAAAAGAAATAGTTAATGAAAAAATATGTTGATAAATTATCATAGGTATTATATAATAAACACATTTCATTGATCAAATAAAAAACTGCGTTAATAAAAATACTAAACTAAGTCTCAGTGTCCAGTACAACAACAGGTAATCATAAAACTGTAGTCTTGGCAAAGGTTATTCATCTTGAGTGGACATTTCAAATTCTCAGAACATAATACTGGAACGTTATCTAAACGTATTTATGCAATAAAATATAAATTAATCATCAATAGTAATTAACTCAAATGATAATTATTCAGTCAACTATGAATAATATATCATATTATAATATATATCCATAATTTAGTATTTAAGTAATATACGTATGTATGTATTGCTAATACGAACTATAAAACAAAAATTAACATTATTTAATTACTGTTTTTAATATTAGAGATACTAATCACAACCTATTAACATATTTTACAGTCAGTCGTGTACCACATTAGAGCAACCTATCAGATTTGAAAGCAACTGGTTTCAAAACAGTATTACATCTAGATGGCGCTAGATATGATAGTTGTAATCACTAATCTCAAGCTTGAATATGTATCCGCTAGATGATACTAATATTACTATTTTGTTAAATATCACTTGAGAAAAACTACTAATAAAAAATTTAATTTTTGAGTAAAATTAATTATTTTGAATTACTGCAATTAATTGCTTAATTACAACTCATACAATATCTTAACAAATATAAGACATAATATAATTTTGTATAATTAAATTTTTCTCAATTTATAAACCATTAAGTACTATTTCATCTCAACATAAAAAGTCTTGCTCCATTAATGAGGAAAGAGTGCAGTTAGTATTGAGTAAGTTTTGACGAACAGTTGAATAAATAAATTACTGTTTAACCGTTTTTTTTTATTCAAAATAACAAAATAATAACAAAGCTTGTTAAATTTTCAATGTAATATTATTGTACTTAATTATAATGAATAAAATAAAGATACCCATTTAAAAATCCTTTTTTTTTTTTAAATTAACATTTTGTTAATCACATAATTATAAACTTTCTTCATAAAAGATTATTATTATCTTTATAATTCTTTTATTACAGTTTCTAACTAATCATATTATTCATAATTTAATTTTGATTCTGACAGAAAATAATGTAAAATTTGCACAAATAATAGTTATAACAAAAAAAATATAATTAAGAATAGAGCAAAAGTGACGAAGTATTTTTTAATATAATATTGTATTTCTAAAGAATATTCATTAATAAAACCCAAAGGCTTATAAAATTATCTATATTTTAGCAGCCATATCCCTGTGTATGATTAAAAATACTTTAAAAACATATTTATTAATACATACACTTATAAAGGGTATTCAATAAGCTTGGAAACAGATATTTTTTAAATCTGCTATTATTTTTTAAAATATATTTTTTTAGAGTTTTGTTGTATAATTAAATAAATTTTTTATGATTGAAATTAAAGTTCAACCCTAATGTAAAAGGGTAGACATTTATAGTAACTAAAATAATTTATATGAAAACCACTTTTTTAAAAATCTGTTAGGGAAATAATATTTTAAACAAAATTACTTTTGAAATTTTAAAATTGGGCAAGCTGTTATTGAGATTTTGCTGATTAAAAGCTATGACATAATTTGCGATAAAACATGTTGTTGTTTTGCAGTAGTAAAGAAAAATACATAATCTACCAGAATATGTGATAAACAAAAAATAAAAACTATGTAGTTCCGTAATTTTTTTACTTTTTTATTATTACAACATAAATATAATAAAAGTAGTGCAAAAAGATCACAATATTTGTTGAATTATTTAATATTAATATTAGTTATGCCTACAAATATTAATGATTTCTAGGGTGTTTTTTAGTTGGGATAACTATTATAACGGTTATTTCAATCATATAATTTTTTTCCGAGTATTTATTGTATATCATTAATGTATTACACTAAGAAAAATCCTACAAGTATAATTGATTCAAAAATGTACATATGTTTAAAGATTGTTTTTTATAATCAATAATAATCAGATCTAAATAAGACTTGAAAAACTAAGTTTAAAAATTTAAATAATACCCTTTATAATTATTTAATAAAGACATAATTTATGGTTCTATGTTATTT